CCTGTTTTCCTGAAACATCATCCTTATCCAACAAAGGCCATAGGATAGCCCAGCAAAACCATTTGGCTGTGTTTCAGTGATTTCTCTTTTTACCAAGCTCACTGCAGTAGTGAACGCCTGTCTCCCCCTTGTCTTGTGGAAGGCCTGCTTCGGACTCCCTTTGACGTCAGCGCATGAAACAGCTGAAAGGAAGGACTGCTTCAGGTAGTGACGTGAGAAAGGCCCTTTTAAAACGCACATCTTAACAGCTCCCCCAATTCCTCTTCACCTTTAGAAGGAAACGTCCTTTGCTTATTACAGTGGGAGTAACGTTTCCTCAAACGTGTGTCTTCTTCTTCCTCACCCGTCAGGATTTGGTGGCAGTTGGAAGATTTCGAAAGCAGAACTATATACCGAAAACATCGGCAGTGTACAAAACCGAAAAACTTCTATATGTTTTAGCCTAAGATCCTGCAGAAACCCTGGAACGATGACTTGAAAGTGTTCCGAATGAAACCGGCCCTACATGGGCCACGCTCCCTTCCCCTCCCCCCCAACCTGCACCTACACAATCATAAGGGAAGCAACAGGAGCACGCCAGTTGAGGAAGCATCAACAGATGTGGAGCAACACCCAGAGGATTTCACATTAGAGTAGCATTTGCCAACATAAAAATTATTACAACTTTTGCTGCAAATTGTTCTGCAAATTTTCCAAAATATGCAAAACCTGACATTTCAAGGGCTGGGATCACTTAGATTTATTAAAACGCACGACCCTCGAGATTTAACAAAAGAAAGCACATTTCTTTATTTAGCTGTTCATTGTGTGGGGCTTCTCTTGTGTGCATTTGGCATTCAGCTCCTTATCTATAATTCATGGGTCAAAATGGTGCACAACTGGGCTTTGGCCACTTCATCCAGCTTTGCCTACGGATTTCTCCTGAGTCATGAACAACAGCTATAACCTCTCAATCTCAAATTTTGTATTGGAGCAGGCAACAGTCCTGGTCTGTCTCAAGAACTTGACAGAAATGTATTTTGCACATAGAAGAAAGCACTCTATAAAAATGTCCTTATCAATGCGAAAGAGGGGGGTTGAAATGGAGACCCAAAGCCATCTATAGAAAATTGGATATCTCTCCAAAGAAGGGTTAGAAGAAAGGGGCAATTCAACCAACATGCAGTATTGCACCAATGGAACACACATCATTCCCCTAGTCCTGAATGCTTCCTCCCCACCACTACCATGACCCAGTTCTACTGCACAAATCTGGCTAGACCCGAGAACATACATTGGTACAGGTAAGAGCTCCTGATGCATGGAATTCAGGACAGATGAACCCCTCAGGAACAGTTGTGGGAATAGTGATAGCATGGGGGTAGG